TCCAACACTCAGTCCATTACATTTCTCCATGTCCTGGATACCTCAGGAATACACTACAACCTCCACTTTCAGGAGCAGACCTGTGATGGACAAAGAGCTGTGCTCACCTGGCTTTGACAGTGGCATGGGGGGAGGAAAGAATCTTCGGGAAGGCTGTGGAGGGCTACAGAGAAATGAAAAGAGTTATCAGTACAGAGGCAGTTAACATGAAAAATATGTTTTATTTAAACGTACACACCTGCATTTTTGTATATATACACTCATTTTAGTCTCTAAAATCATGCTCACAATTCTCTGAAGACAGGTAAGTACCACGTGCCAGGAAAAGAAGTGGACTCAGCCCACTAACCTATGTCCTTTTTCTGTTCTAACTTCACCAATCCTAGATGTCAGTAAAAATAATAAATAAAAGAATTACAACCTCCAACAGCTCTACCTCCGTTCTGCACTGAAAAGTTCGAGAGGTAACAAGCATTTCCCAAAATAACTTTAAGAAAAGGAACAAGCCTTGGCTGGCATTTCCTCTAAAAATCATCCTCTTCAACAGGCTCCTCCCTTAAGCTCTGAAGACAAGGATGAACAGGGGTCCTTTCCCTACCCCCAAAAATTCAAATGCTTGGCAACTTTGGCAGTAACATGTCAAAGGGTTGAGAACCTTTTGTTTTCCCCCAGTCTCATCCCTCCTTTTGTCATCCTACCCTTATGCAAAAGGCCACTTGCCCTGAGGGAACAATGACCTTGGAGCACTGTGAAGGTTTTCCCAGAGCTCACAGATCATGGCTGAGGCTCCCAGTACAATATTCCACCACCAGGAATGGTGGTGGATGCAGATGGATTGGCAGAACAGTGTTTGAGATGGTAGAACAATTCCATCCATTACCACACTGGGTCTCTCTCACTCACTCTTACCTCCATCAGGAATTCTGCTTGTCAGGGTGTGGCTGTATAATTTCAGGAGCATGGAAAACTGCAGAGCTAACCTGAGCATGATCCCAAACTGCCTTTGTGCCAGAACACTGACCACTACCTGTTGAGGTCCTGTCCTTGCAGGTGGAGGGGATGCTGCTGGTAATGCCCGAAGACCTCAAAGACAATGGGCTTTGTTTTGATGTACTCCACGAACGATTCCGTCACTTCCACAGCGATCTGGGAGGCAAAGGAGGGAAGAAAATGAAACATTCAAAAAGGAAGTATTGCTCATAGCACTTAGTGTCCCTCACAATAAAAGCACCTGCATTCCTTTTTGGTTTAGGCATTAATTCTACTCTCTGATGATGAAGAAGAGAAAATGAAAGCCCCAGCATCAGGCATTTCAAATGGGAGAAGAGGAGGCTGCACATAACCAAAGGATTACACAGTTCATAAAAATAGGTATATTCAGTTCATCTGAGATCATGGGCACTGCTATTCATACATATGTTTTATTTCCTGAACTCCAGACTGTTCTCATTGCACATCCTGGAAAGGAAACAGAGATTTCAATGGCAGGAAGCAGAGGTGAAAATGAAGAGTTAAATCTGCCCCACAGAATCATTCTGTATTTTGTTTCCCATCGGGGATTATATCATCCACCTGATCACTCCTCTTACTGTCTGCCCTAAATAATTCCCCTTGCCTTGAAGGAGAGACACACAGCTCCACAGTCACCCCTCATGCAAAGCTTTACTCACATTCTGAACGTGGTAGAACCCCAGGGGAGTCCCTCGGCCGTTGTTTTTGAGGGGTTCTGTTGAGAAAGCTTCATCGTGCCGGTGCAGAAAGCTTTTGGAAAAAAAAAAAGTAAAATCAAACAAAAAATCAACAACCACAGAATGGTTTAATGAAGATTGCTGTGCTCCGAACCCAACACTGAAAGGAAACCTTGAAATCCTACAATAAATTTATTTTGCTGGAACTTTACAGGGAGCTGAGTGATGGCCTAAAGCCAGGAATACCCTAGTCTTGTAGAACCACAGTTCCTGTATATGTTTAATGTTTTTATTATTCCCATTTTTTATTCTCTTTTTAAGAACAGAAGCCAAAAAACATTTGCACTGTTGAGCTACTGATTTACTCAAGGCTCAGGCAGCTTTCATTCCAACTGAGCTTAGATACCATCTAGTATTCAATTATGCTTAAAACCTTAAGATATCTCTAAACTACTAATTTAAGAGTCCACTTTGATTCCTAATTCCTTTCTGCACAACTTTATTCCTTAACACCTGCTAACACAAAGCAGGGAGCAGGGATTCCAGTAACTCACAAGGTTTTTCTCTGCTGTGAAAAGCTCAGACCCTCCACTGCCCACTGTTCTTCGCTCTATCAAACCATTAATTGCCTGATGTAAATAAGGACAAATTCTTACTTGAACTGGCAGAAAATGTCTGCATATTCGGGCAGGATCCCACTGGCCTGGAGCACTGTCACCCGGAAGGTGAACACACTGCCCAGCTTCAGGTGGTCCCCAATCTCCTCAGTGAATCCTTCCAGAGTCATCTTCCCATCCAAAGTGGCCGACTTCAAGTCTTAGGGACACACAAACAACCCATGTGAAATCACTTTTTTTTTTTCTCTCCTCCTCTCTTTTCTTAAATTATTCCTTCAGAAACAGTTTAGTCCCATCACATTTTTTTTTCTTTTGAACCCTAATAATTTACTGATAATCAAAAGATCCAAACACCTGTGCTGTGTTTTTCAGCACAGTTCTTCAAATGAATGACTCCAGAACCTCTCCATGCAACCCACAGGTTTCACCTCTCCCCAACTATCATATTTACAAAGGACACTCGAATCCCCTTTCTGTCACTGACTCAAAGTGTCCCAGATTTCCCTTAAGTTCTCCAAAACTACCACATATTTCTTGCTTACCCAGCTCATTCATTCTGTTGATCTCCTCTGGAGGAGTGGTAACCTCTGAATTCTGTCCTTGCCCTTCCACAATTCTTAATTCTTCCAGTGACAGCCCAGACCGAGTCATTGCAACTGAAGAAAAATCACTCTGAAAAATCAAATGAATTGGCTTGTAACAAACTCCTGCAGTTTCTCCTTCTTTCCCTACAACAGATTCTTTATTTATAAGCACAAGCTACTACACTCAATTCTAAGACTTCTTACCTTATCAAAGTACTCATTGTCAAAGGAAATTTTAGCTGTTCCAGACTGTCGGATACCAGATCCATAATCTGGGGCTTCTTCATCAGCTAAAAAAACCAGGGGAAAAAAAGATAAATAAGTGATGGGGAGCAGAGTCACTGAAATGGGAATTCTCATTACAATGGAAACCAGTCCAGGGAGCAAAAAAATGACAGGTTGGAGTCAGTGATGGAAAAAATCATGTCAGAAATCTACCCATCATCAACTCCAGCGTGGGCAAACCACAAGACAAGTTATGAAGTTTCATTATGAATATACTTCAGAGAATTTTAAATGCAAGCCAACTTTAGTACTCATTTTGATTATTTATTTACTTCTGGTTATGATACTGAGGTAAATTAACCCCGATCTGAACTGCCACCTCAACTCTTGCAGCCCTGAGCTCAGCAGTGACACCAGCAAAGCTCCCCCGGTACATGCTGGAAGTCTGAAAGGCAGATCTGTGCACACAGGCTGCCCATTTAACCTCCTCCTCTTCATGGAGAGCAACAACAACAGGGCCTGGTTAAATGCCAGGGATTTCTTCCACACTAAAGCCATGTTTGTGGGAGAAATCCCAAGATTCTGAATGTGTTCCAAAGCTTTGCTTAGGGACCAAATAATGCCATGGTCCTTTTTCAAGAGATGTCCCCCGTTTAATTTCTATTAGCCATGGTGTATTCTATTTATTTGGATGGATAAATAAAGTTTTTATTTGGAAATGTTCAGTCAATTCTAAGGAGACCAAACCAAACTAGAAATGAGTCTTTTGAGCACATTAAAACAGATTTTAAGTCACTTGCTTTAATCCCTGCCAGAGTGATTCTTATACATCTTCAGTGTGAGATTTCATTACAGGTTCCCATGGAGAGTGAAGCTTCCAGGGTTACCCTTCCTAAACAAGAAAGAATTGCTGGCAGTCGGCCACTGCTGGAAAGGACAAATTCTGGGAAGGATGTGTGCTCTGCCCAGCATGGGTCAGGCATGGCTGACCACCAGCTAAGCCCACCTCCCACTGAACAAGTGTAAAATATCAGCAACTCCCTAGTGAGCTGCAGCTCATCTCCAGCACACATCCAAGGGCACTTATCACCCCAGATATCCACCTTCCCCTATGGAAAACTGGGAATTAAGCAGTGTGTTAAAGCAGTTTCTAAGTCTCAACACTTTTAGAGAGGCAATGAAGGGGAAAACTGCTGCTGGTTTCTGTTTATACCGTGCTGAAAACTGTAATTTCAGCAACTTCTTCACCTGCTCTTGTCAGACACTGGAGAAGCACATTTCAGAGAGTTATTTAAGAGGACAGTTGGAGCACAGCAAAAATTTGGTACATTTGACTTTGCTGTCAGTCACCACAACTATCAAACTTCCAGTACCCTTGTCCACTATTTACACAGGGTGCAGGAAAGAAGAATCTTTGGTTTATTTTTAGTTTTCATCTCACTGAACCTAGTTAGCCCTTTCACTGTCCTAAAAAACAGTGTTGCAGTAGTTGCCAGGTACGAACTTTAGTGGCCAACCCCATCCCTTCACAATCTGATCAGCAGCATTATTTCAACATTTATTTGAGTTTGGTCCATATGATGACATAACAAATGACATCAATTCAAAAGCGAGTTAACAACAGAGAGCGAGTGTTCTCTGCAACACGCAAATCCAGTTGGAGTACAGAAGGTTTGATTTGTTTGGTTGGTTTTTGAAGCTGCAGCAGTTCCCAGTGGCAGGAGCTGCCCCGGGGAGCTCTCAGAGTGTCTCACCTGCAATGGCCTGAACTGCCACACGCAGGAACCCTCGGACCTCTCCCTTCTCACTCACAACAGCCACTCTGTGGATCAGGGGCACCGGGTACAGCAGGTTGCTCAGGTACACAAATGCTCTGGGAAGGGAGGAAGGAAAACACAACCAGCATTAGGCAATGATGCACAAAACCAGGCTGCAGAGTTCAGTTGGCTACTGGGCCACTCAAATCTCCAGACACTCCATCTCTCAGAGCTGCAGGAGGTCCTGGGTCCATCCTGCCCACACAGGGCCAAGGGCAGCCACAAAATGCTCTAAATTGAGCTCAAAATGCTCACTGAAGACACAGGGCTCACATTAATGAGCTACAAACATATGGAGGACACAATTCTAGATGATGGCTGTATGGAAGGTAATTGGAGATGCACCACAGTTGTGAATGGAGCTGTTAACAAGATGGTAGAATCTACTAGAGAACTACTGATTATAAAGAATTGCATGTTGTATTATATATTATATGTACATATGTGTATGAATATGTATTATGTATTGTATTATATATGCACTGTATATTGTATTATGTTATACATACATGTATGTATGAATATGTCATGTATTGTATTATATAGGTACTGTATATTGTATTATATATTATACATACATATATGTATATGTATTATGTATTGTATTATATATTGTATGCACATATATGTATGTATATGTATTATATATTCTATTATATATATACTGTATATTGTATTATAAAGAATTTTCCCCTGAGGTAGTTTGAAGTGATAAATTAAAAGGGAATTGATCTACTCAAACAGCCTCAGATTTTTACTGAACATATAAAACCCCTCTTTTAAAACCAGACTGACAATGTTTTCTCTCTTCTATATTCCTCTGGTAACACTGTATGCAGAATAATCAGAATCCCCCAACAAACCATAAGTCAGCACTCAGGTTTCTTGGAAGAGTCACTGAGTGTGCACACAGTGGAAGACTGTCAGTCTTCAAATCTAAACCTCTTTAGGAGCATTATATTTATTTCTTTAAAAAAACAAAGCAAAACAAAGACCAAAACACCACAGCAGTACTCTGGAGCAACCACTCAGGAATTCCAGTCTACAAAAGGAAAAGCAGCATTTAGGCCCACAAGTGGATGATCCTGCCAGTCACTAACTTTTAAAGTTATATACAAGCAGGGTCTCTTTTGGAACAATAAGTTAACCAGTTTAATTGTATAGATTTTAATTAAAAGTCAGACTAACTTCTTTAACTAAGTTATTTTATGTTCCTGCAATGAGTTGCAGAAGTTTTTGAAGTGTCACACTTCAGTGGGATTGGTCTGAGCAAAACATTAAGTGTTGACAAGCCCAACAAGGCAGGTAAAGAACAGCTCTCAACAAGGGGAAATGAAAGCCCTAATTTATTCATTAAGTGACCTGTTTCAGAGTTCAGAAAAGTACTGAGATGCACAAAAGTTTAACCAATACTTTTACCAGTCATGAAATTTAAAGTGACTAATTATGTAATTTTAATCAACTTATGCACGTTAAATTATACTAAGCATCAGTAATCTGTTCAACTAATTCCCTTCTTGCAGTTCTTTTTATTAGTCTTTAGCATTGTATTTAATTAATTCCTCTAATTTGTAACTGTTATTGTTTAACATTCCCAGGACAAGTCCTGCATGACCAAAGGGAAGTGCTGCTCCTTGGGAACGTTCACGTGCCAGGATGAATTAATTCTCTTGGAATGACAAGGTGGTCAAAGAGGTGTCAGTTGTGAACCGAAGACACAGAAATAATGCTACTAAAAACCAAAGTCATGACAAAATGCAATAGAGAAGAGAATGATTAATAAGGCTACAAAAGTAGCAAAACAAAAAAAATGAAGAAAACCATACAACAACAACAAAAAACAACTGCAACGTAACACTTCACTAAGATTAGGATTTAATTCCTTTTCAGTCTGCTCCAAAGTGAGGTAAGCACTGATAAAGCAGGGGAAGGCAGAAGAGACTAAATTTAAAGTAGTAAAATGAGAAGTTTAATTTTTTTTTTTTCTTAAAGATATCATTTTCATTTCCAGCTTTGAAATTTCAGGTGATGCTCATCTGAGAAAGCAGATGACTCCAATTGTAACAGTTGGAATTGCTGACTTGGACTGGCTCAGGGATGGAGTTCAGGAAGGGGTGTGGTTAATTGCTGAACACAAAAAACACACCCTGTTTGAAAACCACATTTCAAGCCAGGGAGAACAGACATTTCCCAACAGGAAGGAATCTGAAGAGCCTTGCACTGATGTGCCCAGTGAAAGGGAGTCTCACTAACTCCAAGAGTCAGGCAGCACAGAAGCCTTCCCACCTCAAACCAAAACTAATGGAAAGTGAAAGCATTCCCTGCATGAAAAACAAAAATACCTGTTTATTTGCATGGTAAAAGTTCTGAAGCTGCTGCTCAACATGTGACAGCCAAAGCACTCAGCTGGAGTAACAACTACAACGTGACCATCCCAAGGAAAAACAAGCTATTTCTCCTCTTCCTAAACTTCCCTCCATCCAGTCACTCGGTTCATCGGAGTCATTTTGACTTGGACAAAGAAAAGCACATAATGCAAGAAGTTTTAAGCTTCCTGTTTGTTGGTGAAAATTCTGGATCTCTTCTGTGGGAGGGAGAGCAACTGCACATGGGCTGGACCAAACCAGAGCTGGGTCCTGCAGCAGCACTGCTCCCAGTGCCATCCCATCTGCTGCAGGTCAGGAGGGCACGAAATCTTAAGGTTCTCCTCCTCCTCTTCCCTCATCCAGGAGGATTCCCACTCCCCAAACATCCCCTAAGTGTCCCCCTGCACCTTAGCCCAGCAGACTGAAAGAGGGGAGCTGGATTAGCAGAAAGATTGGTGAGGTAGAATGGCATACTCACAACAGAACTAGAAATTAAATTGAACAAACACGATTTTTTTAAAAGAACCAAAACAAAAACAACAGAACTCAGAATGATGGCGGATATTTTTAAAATAAACACGTCAAGGTTTAAATGAAATACCCCACAGTCCTCTCCCACCTCCCTTAAAAACAGAGCAAATGCTTGATATGTCACACCATAAATAGAATCAGCCTTAAAGACAGCCCAGCATGCCAGAAGAGATGGCTAAAGGGACCAGCTCTTTTTTTCCTTTTCTTTAGAAGTTACAAATAAAAGACAGTCATAGCACAGAGAGAGGAAAAAAAAATAACTGTGATGGCCAAGGAGTCGAGTAACTACATGATCCACTTCTCCTCTCTTTCATGACCTGCACTTGTCATTGCTGATGAAACCCCCAAAAATACTAAAAATCATTTTACTTGTCCTAGACATTCTACAGCATATGGTCCAGTAAACAGCTGGAATTTGGGGTTTGTTATAAACTGAACCTTGTGCTCAGGACAAGATTTGTGTGGATGAACGCACCCCTGGTCCTTGCAAGTCACTGTTCAAAAGTAGAATTCTCACACTGGAAGACACTGAGGACTCAAAATAGTTCCTATTCAGTGGTGCTGGACAGTCTAAAAGCAGCTTTCTGCTGACAGAATGGGCACAACAGAAGAACAGGAACAGAAATAGAATAGAAACCAATAACTGGGAAAAAGTCCCTCAGCTCTCTACCCAGATAATCCAAACTCAGCTCCATTCTTCAGTACAACTCCCAGCTCAGTTTGTGCAGCTCCCACCCAAAACTGCTGCAGCTCCGTGCGTCTGTCCATGGAGACAGAGCTCAGAATTCCCTGTAAAACAGGGAATGGGAAGCAACTTGTGCCACTGCCAGGAAGCACAACCGTTCTCATTTTACACTGTATTTGCTCAGCTTGTGTTGTGCTTCCTGAGGAGCTTGTGAAATGAGGATGAATAGCCCAACTCTTTCCCGAGCTCTGAAGGAGCTCCAGGAGCACAGGCTGCGGATGCCAAGGCAGGGGCAGGGAGCAGCCCTGGGCTTTAATGAGCTGACAGCCACCCCCAAACAGCTCACATGGCTTTTCCCAAACTGACTCCCAACCTGAATCAGATTAACCTGAAAGAATTACATCTTATAAACCACGTTATCAGGCATTGCACATAAGGGCACAAATTCAGAGGTCACACAGGATTAATGCAACTTCTGGCAACTTTAGCAATTTTTGTTTCAAAAACTAGATCCAGGATGTTCCAAGCCCCACTCCAGATGAAGTCTGAGGTTTGGCAACACAGCTACACTGATCTAAAAGCTTGATCAAGACCAGCAAACTCAATCCCTCCTTTTCACAAATAATGCAGTCAAGTTTCCTGCACTTGAGGCAACTGCACCTTTCTGTCCATGGAGTCTTTCCTGCCCACAGGCACAGAGAAGGACAAAGCCAAGCTCTGGTCCCTCCTCCTTTGTTCCTCCCTTCCACTGGCCATGGAGCCCTTTTTTTGTACCACACCTGTGGCAAACACCCCCCTCTCCCTGCTTTAACCAGGATTTTGGCTCACAGGGGAAGCAAGGAAGCACAAAAGCATCATTGGGGGAGTGGGAAGCAGCAGAGAGAGGAGCCAAGCCACTAAATAAAAATATTTCTGTTTCTTGAGAAACATGTTTTAGCAAGACTATTAATGAAGAAACAGGGCAAAGTACTACATTTTTTTAATGCAGCTTGCTGTCCTGAGGGTCTACACCACAGACTGAGGTCTGATAATGCCCTCATTGTTTTTAGACTGGCAAACCTGCTTCAGAAATTCAAGCACAGTGCCTTGGGAAAGTGCTGATAAACACTCCCAGCCAGCAAATTGCAGTGATGATGACCTTTCACTAGGTAATACTGGCTACAGAGTCAAACATAATCTGAGAAGCCAAATCATCTCAGAGAATACCCTTTTCCTCATCCAGAAAGGACCATTCTTCTTTCTCCTCATGCCACCTTTTCTCTTCATACGCAGAGGATGTTAAATGGGTTTTCAAAAAAAAATGGATTTATTGGACTGGACTTAAAGACTTTCCACCATACTCAGGTTCTCTTCTACATGAGGAAATGCCATCCTACAATTCTATCCCAGTGATCCTGTGATGGCTGAGTAGAGAACTCTCTGAATGATGTTTAAATCCTGCACAGAAGCAAACCCAGTCACCCTACATTGCAATAGTTCTCTAGAAATAGATTTACTCACATTGTTGCATCTAAGGGTTATTTTCTCAATTATTATTTAGGTCTATATGGGAATTTAAAACTTATGAGATGGGAACTTAATGACATGACATGGGAACTTAAAACATCATGTTGGACTACACTCATTCTCTGGCCATTCCAATTCATGGGTATTTTGGCTAGACTGACAGATATTCTGTGTAGCACAAGGCAAAGCCATTGCAGTCTGCAGCAAGAGCTGGTCCCTTTTGGCCATTCTCAGAGGAACCTCACCAACCTTCCCACTAAAATGAACCAGGGGGATCGGTCGTAAAACGGGTCGCGCCCATCATTGAAGAGGTCTGATCCCTCCTCAGTTCCCACGTCGGAGCCAGTGTCATCCACAAAGGCCTCATCATCAAAGTCCTCCATCTCATCCTGCTGCTCATCAGCCAGTTCAGTGATGTCGGAGTCGGCCGTGGAGAAAGTGGGGGAGGGCGTGCGGTCGGCAAGGCGCTCGTTCACGCAGCCATGGAATATGGGGGAGCTGGAACCAGCCAACGGACACCGACCGGGGCCAGGGGAAAGAAGAATGTTCATTTAACAGCTGTTTGTTGCCATCAGCACAGAGACCACCTGAACAACAAGCAAAGGCTTCAAACCACCTGCACCGCCACGGAACGCGAGGGGAGGGATTCGCCAACAAAGTCGGGGGAAAGAGTGTCCTTGAACGGAGCAGGAAGCAAATGGAAAAGGAATGTCAACATAAGGATCTTGAGAGCACATCCATTTAAAAGAGCTACAACTCTTATTGCCAACACAGCATTTCCACAAATCAAAATATTGCAAAGGTGCAGCCAACATCAGGAAATATCAAAGAATCCCATCAGATGCTTCCCTAGGGAATGACCAAACTATTACAACCACATATGTCAGTAAGACCCTGGGCCACTTTTCCCATGTTCTTCACATTCTCACAGCTCTGCTCCAGCGAGTTTGGATAGAATTTAGCTGGCTACATTGTTTTAAATAAACTTGTAACTTACTACGGGTTCACTCCAATCAGAATCCACCAGTTCACACCAGAACTGGCAACACTCCAGAGAGCATTTTCTACTCTCCACTGCATTTTAAGCCTCTGAGAAATCCCTGCAGGACAAAACACACGAGTGACACAGAGGCCACACAGTTCATAACCACATCTCGAGCCAGGGTTCCCCCAGGAGTGGGCAGTGCAGCAGCAGTGAGGGTGTGGAACGTACCTCCCGACAAGTTTGAACCAGTGGAAGCGGTCGTAGAAGGGGTCGCTGCCCGTCATGGTGCTCTCGCCCTCGTCCTGGCTGTTGGAGGCCATCTCCCCAGCCCTGTCGTACATCTCCCGCATCAGGTCCAACCTCTGCCTGCACACGGGAAAGCAGCAGTGAAAAACTGAGGAGAGAGAGGAGCAGAACGAGCAGGGAACACCAAGTGAGGTAACACTGACTTCGCCTGAACCAAACTCAGAGGCTGCACCCTAAGTTTGGGTGCTGCACTGATGCTCCGAGGTGTTACGGATTCGGGGAAAAAACTTGTAGGCAAGGTCACTGCAGAGCTCACAAAAATCATGGATTTCAACCCAATCTAACTATTCTTTTGCATCTAATTCTGGCAGATTTTTTGCTTCCTTTTTTGTTTTGCAACCAACCACGTTGCTGAGTAATTTCGGCAGCTCTTTGCGTTCCACTTCAGAAATGTTGGCATTTTGATTCAAAAGTGACTGGATTCCACTGCAGACTTTTTTTCATTTATCTATTTATTTATTTAATCGAAGAGAACAAGTGTTTCACACTGCAAGACCCTTTGTCTGGAAGTTATTAGTAGGAAAAAGTTCTTCAGTCAGTATTTAGAGAACAGGGAAAAGACAAATGTCATTTACATGTGTTGGAAATAATTCAGATTAGTCAGAATTTGTGTAGCTTCCACAGAAACAGAATCTTCTTCATTTGAGCTTTTTATTATAAATTATGCCCTTAACTACCAGGTTTTATAAAGCAGGTGGCAAGGGTATTATTGCAGTGA